TCCATTAATTGGAATAACGTTTATTACATGAAAATACAGATTTCTCTCAGAATTTTATATGCCCAGATGAAAAGAAAACTGGCACAGTTATGTATAAATTTGTGCCACATTGTTTTTAATTTATGTTTTTAAGTCTCTGAAAAAGACACGAGTAGAAATTATTAGAGATTAGTGTCCGACATTAATTAGGTATTAGATTATCACTGCAAATGTAGGCTCAAATTCCATTATCCTTGCTGATGATGATCAGCACCTTGCTCCTCAATTAGTCTGACTGATTTCAGTGAGACTGTTTGTGGTGTACGGTACTATTCAATGTAAGGGAACCAATCTTTGTCTGGTAGAAAGGCAGTAACCGTGACAACTAGATGGTCAGATTCTGATGTCAATAAAACCAGTCACTGAGTAAAGTGATACTTACGAGTGAGAATCTGGTCCATAATCCCATTGTTAAAGAAAAGGTTTATAAAAGATGTTTTATTACTACACTATATTTCATAAAAGATATAAAATTAATGTATTTAATGTTTGTTTTGTATAGCAACACAAACTATCTTAACTAGTACCTAGAATTTCATCACATATGCAAGCACTCTGCATTTTTTCCAACAGCAGCTTAGTTTCCATTAAAAAAGGACATCTGATAATGCCGGTACAACAAAAAGGTATGAGACATGCTGTGTAAAACTTTTGCCAAATAATTTGAATAGAAACTCAAGGGACACTTACCAGCTGCAGTCAAAAGCCCCCTCAATACAACTCCGTTTTTTGCCAGTTAACATATTTAAGTTTAAGACATTTCCTGTGTTCCTTCTGTATCCAAGTTAACTGCTTTTGAGAAATCAAAACTAGCTATTTGCCTCATTAGACGGTTGCACTCATTTATTAAATATGCCTTTTTTTTTAAATATATGAACATAAGAATGTCCACACTGAGCCAGACCAAAGGTCCATCTAGCCCAGTGTCCTGTCTTCTGACAGTGGCCAATGCCAGGTGCTTCAGAGGGAATGAACAGAACAGGTAATCATCAAGTGATCCATCCCAGCTTCTGGCAAACAGAGGCTAGAGACACCATCCCTGCCCATCCTGGCTAATGGCCATTGATGTACCTACCCTAGATAAATTCAGAGAGTTCTTTTTTGAACCCTGTTAGTGTCTTGGCCTTCACACCATCCTCTGGCAAGGAGTTCCACAGGTTGACTGTGCATTGTGTGAAGAAATACTTCCTTTTGTTTGTTTTAAACCTGCTGCCTATTAATTTACTGCAGTGACCCCTAATTCTTGTGTTATGAGAAGGCGTAAATAACACGTCCTTATTTACTTTATCCACACCAGTCATGACTGTATAGACCTCTATCACATCCCCCCTTAGGCATTATGCTCATGGTAGGTGCTGGACGAACCACCCAGGAGACTGAAATTCCCAGTTTATCTACAAATTAGGTACAGCACATGCAACAGTAGTGTAAAGTTCCCTACATTTTCCTCTTGTGTGCCTGGTTTAGAGGAATCACCTCTAGGATCTTGTCTACTTATTAGCTGTATTGCACAACCAGTGCAGCTCCACCAGTGATAGCAATGGTGGAAGCTGTTATGTAGACAGAACTCAGGCATTTTTACCACTGTGTCATCTAGGTTTCCACACTACAGCGTCCACTGTTTCTACTGCATGTAGAGAATTAAAGCGACGAAGTTTGCTAATGTAGAGGCAGCCTAGATGTGAAAGGATAATTCAGTCTCCAGGACTTTTTATTCCTTGGTGAAATAACACCAATACCAATTCTAGTTTATGTGATGTAAAAACTTATTCAGGGAAAACTAGACTGAGATAACCAACTCATTTTACATAGACCATTGAAAGGACAACAAATTATCATTTTTGGCCAGTTATGGATTAGAACTAGTGAGCTAGAGGTGAAAGATTCACTTTCAAACCCATGAACTTCCAACTCCCTGATTAAAAGTTATTATTTTAAATTGTTAGTCATTTATCTTTTAAGGAGATTTGTTAAAGGGCAATCTACATTTCCAGTTTGGTTGTATGACAAGAGAATATGGCTGTCCCAACCGTTTTTGTAGGGAAAATGATCTAGTTTTTATAATACAAGACCCACATTTTCAAGGTGTGCATGAGTACAAGTTGGACACAAGCAAAAGTGAAAATTTGGGCCTAAGCTATATTGTACATCCAATTTATTAAAAATCTTCTGTAATACCTCTGCCTAGCTGGCATATCTGACTTGAGACTGAAAATAAAAACTGCTACTCATTGGATTTTAAAAGGAAACAGAATTAAGAACCCAGAAGACATGGATAATTTGCCCACCCAAATTGCTACTTTCATAAATTCCTCCTCCAGCTCAGTCAGTTCCACCCTATACTGCACTTCAAGAAGAATGCACATAGCTAATTATGTATGCTTTCTCCCTGAATTGTGTTTTTGGGCACAACTGCCATTCAGGGTTGTTTACAATGAAATTGAAGTCTGAACTCAGCTTTCAGTTTCAGTCTCATATCAGACATGCCACTGCTCATTCAATGCATCTTTTAAGTGCAGGTCAGCAACAAATTACACTTTTCCAAACTGATTTTTAGTTGTATAAGTTGCTGAACAATAACATTTTCCTAAAGTCATTGTTGGTCTCTCTTCCAAACTATTTGACATTGCCAAGCATAGTTGAAAATCTCACTAAGTTTTGCACACAATCTCTTTTATACCATGCTGATAACATATTTTGAATAGAGAGTTTAGACCTTCAGTGAACTGAAAGGATTATAGACCAAATGTAGGCACCTAATATAGAGAAAGAATCAACATGGTGAATGGCATAGGAACTACATTTATATTCTGACTATAGGGAAGTATCTTACAGCTAATAGCAACATCTTTGAAGAATTCATAAGATTCCAAACTAATTCGTGTTCTTAGTTTACTCTAAGAAATTCACCTAAAGACTTCTGAAAATAGAGTTTCATTTTTTATAGTTGATTTGAGTGTATAATTCCAGTTGAAGTCCAACTAAGGTTTGGAAGAAATAAAAACAGGGAATATATTTGCACTCCAAAAATGCTTACAGGATATCACACTAGTGAAAGTCTTTATGCAGACACTCCTGAACACAGTCAAGTTATAAAGCAGGTGTGCATTTTTATGAGCAGAACCTGCAAGTTTACACCCACTTACAGCCCCATGTCTCCTCCTGTTGTACAATGTTTTCAGAATTACTATTAGAGATCAAATTAGTTCAGGGGGTCTCAAACTGGGAGTTGTGACCCCTCAGGGGTCGCAAGGTTATTACATGTGGGGTGGCGAGCTGTCAGCCTCCACCGCAAAACCCCACTTCACTTCCAGCATTTATAATAGTATTCAATATTTTAAAATGTGTTTTTAATTTATAAAGGGGGTCGCACTTCCCTTGCTGTGTGAAAGGGGTCATCAATACAAAAGTTTGATAACCATTGAATTAGTTGCTTGTAAAAAAAGGCCTTTGAAAACCTTTTCTTTTCCCTTGTTCAGGTACAGCCCAAATATGTCAGAAACAGAGGAGCTGCGCCAAAGTCTAAGAGCCTTCAAAGAAAAATTAAACCTCTTTAAAGAAACAGTTTCCCTGCTACTAATGTGGTCTGCCAGTCATAGGCTTGATTCTGCACTGAAGTGAATGGGAGTTTTCACTGACTTGAATGAGTACAGAATCAAGTCCCAAAGGAGGGGGAGTAGGAGGGTGCTATAAGGCATGGGGTAGGAGAGCTGGGGATGTATTGAGTGGAATCCCTATTTATCAGTTTACGCAGCAGTGATAACCCTAAAGAAAATTATGATTAGTCTGTTGCCTTGACTAATATGTAAAGTTATTAGCTTCCTACGAATAATTTTGAAGTCAAAGGGACAATGGAAAAAAAGTTACTCTTTGCAGAGGAAACTTATTTAAATGTTATTTCCCCCTTGCTTTGACTTAGAGAAATTCTGTCTAAACAGTCTAGACCAATTGGATGTGTGTGGATTATAGAAGACTGTTTTATTATTTGTTTAAAAGAACAGTCTGAAACAAAATGTATATTTACATATCACATCTGGTGTGGGTGCTAAAAGAACCTATATTATCTATAGAGAAGAAATAAAAGGATTTTTTTAAGTCACTCCTTCACACATACAAAAATGAAAACAAGAGGCATCTGTATATGTAATTAGTTACCAAATCAGGAAAAAGAAATGCTTTTGACTGTACCCAGTACATTCAAGAAAGAAAGAATAAAAATACAACCACTCTAAAGAATAAACACGGCCCGTCAAACCAGTGTTTAAGGAGAACTCGTCTCCAAGGTTTCCACAAACTCAACTCCCAACAAGTGGGGAATGGCACAGACTTCAATATAAACATCACACTTTAAATCCGCATCTGACCCTCTTCTGGAGTGTCGAGAACATGTGGCACTGCAGCTCCCCTGCATCAGGGGACCTGGCAAACATTAATGCATCTGCAAACTCTGAGTAACTAATAGAAGAACAGTTTGGGTGGGGAGGGGGGAAGAATCTAAAGTTGCCAGAGGAAAAGACAACAGCATTCCTGGGTAAAATATTCATGTTCGGAGCTGAATGGTGAGTCGAAAGGCGGCTGTAAACGACCCTAAGCGTGTTGTTCTCTGGACGAAATGCCCAATGTGAACCGCTCTCTAATCCACAAAGCGCCCAAAAGAAATGCAAGTGGCATATGAAGACGATGGATGAAATCCCAGCTCACCCCAATCTCCACGTGGGGGGATTTTCCCTACAACAGCAACACTTAGAGGGCTTTTACCGCGCTCCCACTGCATGCAAAGTGCTGGGAAAGCGGATACAAACCACTTGGAAACTGAGCGCAGCCAGCACAACCCCACGCGCTAAGGGGGCAACGCACTGCTGAGGGGCTGGAGCCCAGAGGTCAGGTACACCGCACCACACACACACACCTCTTACTAAGGAGAGCACGCAAAGCACCAGGCCCTTGCCAGGCTTCCTTACCTGCCCCTGGAGATGCTGAGCTGCACCCCAGCAGCGTCCTCCTCAGAGCTGCGCGCACCCCCCTCGCAGGGCACTTGCTGCTGCGGCCGCGGCACGCTGGCTTAGCTTACAGCCGGCTGCTGCAGGGAGCTGAAGCCAGCATACTGATTTGGCCCTAGGGCGAAGGGGGCAGGAGAACTAGATCCCCTCCCCGCCGCACAGCGGGGTCCCGCTGGCCGCCGGGTGTGGAGGGCTCCCAGGGACTGGGGGAGCTGAGCTGCGGCTGCTCCTGGGACAGTCACCGAGACGCTTCTCTGCCGCCCCTGGCTGGCACGTAGCGCGAGTGCCCCCCGCTGCCGCCCCCGCTGTCCCGGGCGGCTCCTGAAACCTGCTGCTCCCCTTTGTGACACCACAGCGCGCCTCGGCCAATGGCAAGTGCCCCGCCGCCGCGCTCGAGCGAGAGGCGTGGAGTTCCCAGCCCCAGGGAGAGGCAGGGAGACGGAGCAAATGATGCTGCTGCTGCCTCCAGCCTGGCTGGCCGGCGTGGGAGACCCCGCACCCACCCACCCACCCATACCCTGCCTGGTGAAATGCCCCTCTGCCCCGGGGCAGGGAGGCGCCCGTAGCTAGAGCGGCCCCACCCGGAGCCAGGGGACGCACACGCCAGGAGATTTACAGGCAGGACAGAAAGGCACCCCGAGGCAGCCGTCAGCGGTAGGTACAACTGGCCGGCTCTCTGCGCTGGGCAAGCTGTGCTCAGCTTTGCACTCCCCTGAGCCTGAGGTTGGCCAGGGGCCGGGCTGCTACTCCAGGCAAGTTGGAGCAGCCTGAGAGCTCTAATGCCCGGCCCAGGCAGCCACTCCGCCGAGGATTGTGGGGATGCCCTAGACATGACTTCTTGCCCACACACAGAGGACCTACTTGCAATGGCAAAATGCCACCCAAGTCCCCCCCTACCTGGGGGAAGACTCCTCAGGGGTCAGATCAGCCAAGGGCTTTGCACTAGAACTCTGCCAAGGCACAGCAAGGCCAGGGATTTGGCATGCAGTATCTAGGGGGAAATCCTGGCTGCCTGAAATGAGAGTTTTGTCCAGGCTTTCTTTCACCCCAAGCATAGATGCAGGACAAAGCTACATAGGATGGTCTGGACTTTAGGCCTAGTATTTGTTTCTCATAGCTCTCTCTCTCATGGAGGGGCAGTTTGTTACATAGAACCAGCGCTGCCCTGGTGACAGCCAAGGAAGGAGCCAGCACGCGTACACACACACACACACCCACCCCAGGGAAAGAAAACATACACATAGTAGGAGGTAGGATTAGAAATGAGCCTTTGTATGGCAACATGACATATGTTCCTATTCAGGAAGGATGCTTTCTTGGCGCTCTCCACACCCAGCATCCCCACCCTTTTTTAAGGCAAATGATCATATTTCTATTTTATTCCTTTATTAAGTTCTCCTATATCACTATATTTCAGTGGAGCTGAAAGATGCATCCTTACTTTTCTCCCAAAATATTTTCAAGCTGTCAGAGGTTGAACCTTCTTCACTCTTCAAAGAGTAGTGGGTAGCACTGAAAACAAAAACCCATTCATAAAAGTGGGCAGCCTATAGTCACTTCATCATACAGAGATGCCCAAAACAACTTCAAGGCTTTCAGAGGTGAGCACAATACAACCCCCACTAATAATGTAAAGTGCAGAGAACTAGCAGCTACTCTTAGCATGGTTGCTGCCCAGAAAACAATATTTTAATTTTATTTTGAATATAGTTTGGACAGATAATAAAGAAAGGCAGTGACTAAAATCCCCCAATACACTGTAATGTTGGCAAATCTCCTACCTTGCAAGTTATACATCTACTGTTCTTATGACAAATAGGTAGGGTGGTTGTCTTTGCACATTGGTAAGATGGGTATAGCTTTTTATGCCAAGTAAAGTGTTTATAATTTTGTAAATAAAGTTTTCATTTTGGAAAGTATCTAGAAATTGAGTTATGAAAACTCCACTCTGTATTGAGAGAAGTGACAAAGTGAAGCGTTTGTGCTCTGTAGTTGAAGAAGTTTCTTTGAAAATAGTGCCACCTGCTGTTTGCAACAATCTTTTAAGTATTAGTACCAAACCCTATTGCTTGGGTTCATTACAGTAATAAGAGTAGTCATTATGTTAGACAAAGAACATTAATGAAAGTATTGGCAAGGAGTTTTTACTGCATTAAATAAAAAAGTTAGTTTAAAAACATCTGTAATTGTTGTAGAATTACAAAGATTGCATTTATTCCTCTCCTCCACCTCTCCCATTTATATGCTGAAAATTAACCACACTTTGTGGATCCCCCCACAAAGAAATATTTCTGGCTAAGATAATGTCAGAGAAAAATAGACTGAGCTGAAGACTGTGAGAGTCTCAAAATGCTATGGCTAGGAACTGTCTTTTCCTTTGTGTGTGCGTTCAGTGCCTAACAAAGTGGGTCCCTCATCCTTGACTAAGGTTAGTGGGCACTATCAGAATACAAATAAATAATAATAATAATTTTGAGAGTTTTTTTTAAAATGTCCTCTTTTAATACTAGCAAAATAGAGGAACAAGTAATATCAGGTACAATTTTTGAAACCAGAAACATCAATACCAGTCAAGATTTGTGTAACCATAACAAAAAGCCAGATTTTATTACCTTTACTCATATTAAATAGTATCACATGAGCAGTCCTACTGATTTCAATAGAGCTGCTTGTAGAGGTTCTTTTCAACATGTGTAAAAGTGGCAGACTCAGGTGAAAAATAAGTGACAAGAGAAATACCTAAAAAGACTATTTAGCCACAGGAAATCCTTGATCTTCTGTCACAAGGTCTGTGAGTAATAACGAATACTTTTAAAGTTAAAAAAAATGCGTGGTCACATTGTCTTGCTTAGAAATACTTATTTCCATTAAAATAGGTGTCTTATACTGATTTAAACTCTAAGGAATTAGAAACACAAAGCATTATTAAATAAATAATTGTGAAAACTGACAAACTCATAAAACAAAAATAAAATTTTCATGCTGACATGCTGCACTTAAGTTAAATATCCCTATAATGGCTAGATTTTTTCAACATATTCAGAACAATGTAGCACATCTGATCATAAGCACTGAAGATGAAGATGATAAACTTTTGATGCAATGGTATCACTCATTTAGTTTGCTACCTACTAACTGGCCTTTATGGGAGAATCTTTCCTGGACTTTCTGCTTTCCAAGCAGCTGGACTGTTTGTTCCCTCCCTAAGTGCATGACTTCACATTTATTTGGATTTTGAAACTCATCTTGTTGCAGTGCGTCACCTATTCCAATCCCTCCGGAAATTGGAATAGGTGACGCACCTATTCCAATTTCAAATTCCAAAGAAATGGTAGCTTTGTAGTTGAATTCTGCACTCATATGCATTGCTACCCCTCCAATTCTAATATCATCAGCAAGTACAATTATACTGAATGAACCCTTTAATTCTGAATGCTAACTAAAGATCTAGAGTAAATAGTACTGACCCCTGTTGATACTTTACCCCTTTGGAGGGTTTACTGGTTGCTCCTCCTCTTTACCCAGTCTAATGCATGCTTATATGAGTACGACGAGTTCGGTCACAGAGAACCCCTTGGGACTGTCACCCGACATGCTGAAACTACCTCTGAGCCCATTTTCCTTGCCAGCTTGGGACTCCAGAACACTGTCTTGTTGAGCCAGACATGCTACTCTGCTGCAACACAGACCCAGGGTCTGAACCACGCTCCCAAAGCTGCAGACTTTAACCAAAACTGCTCAGCAGGTTTCCTATCCCCAGCACTCAGACATCCAGCTCCCAATGGGATCCAAACCCCAAATAAATCCATTTTACTCTCTATAAATCTTATACAGGGAAAACTCAAATTGTCCACCCTCTATAACACTGATAGAGAGATATGCGCAGCTGTTTGCTCCCCCAGGTATTAATCACTTACTCTGGGTTTAATAATAAACAAAAAGTAATTATATTAAGTACAAAAAGTAGGATTTAAGTGGTTTCAAGTAATAGACAGAACAAAGTAAGTTACCAAGCAAAATAAAACACACAAGTCTAAGCCTAATACAGATGTTCCAATAAGCTTCTTTCACAGACTAGATTCCTCCTTAGTCTGGGCCCAATCCTTTCCCCTGGTACAGTTCTTGTTAGTTCCAGCTCAGGTGGTAACTAGGGGATTTCTCATGACTGGCAGCTCCCTTTGTTCTGTTCCAAACCCTTTTATAGCTTTGGCACAAGGCGGGAATCTTGTGTCTCTCTGGGTCTCCACCCCTTCAGGCCTGGCCTTACCATGAGGCGAACTGAGGCGGCCGCCTCATGTGCCAGACTGGGGGGGTGGGCACCACTAGGACCCAGAGTGTAGAAAATTGTGCATGCTGCTGGTGCATATGTATTCTCTCTGCTCTAGATGCACAGAGATGGTGGAGTGCTCTGCTGGAGGAAGGAGGGCACAAGAGACATAACAGGCAGGCAGGCGAAAAGGTGAGAGGGAATAACAGAAAGCAGCAGGAGCTTCAGGAAGAGAGAGGAGGAGGAGGAGTCTCTTATGTACCTCTCTAGCACCCCCAGGAGCCTGGACTGATTAACACCAGCTTCTCGGGGAGCTTCCTGTTTCCTGCTGCTTCCCTGAACCCACTTGAGGAGAACAGGCAGTCAACTGAAGTAGTAGGAGCCAGTTAGACCCTTAAGACGCTGATATCTTCCCTCACTCAGGCCCTGCTACCAGCCTGCTTATTTGTCCCCTTCAACGGAGTGTTGAGAGCCACTATAGCTGGCACAGATCAGCAGTCATGAAGGAAAGAAGAAAACGTCTCTCTGGGGCAGCATTCAGAAAAAGAAAGAAAGCAAAGGAAGCTTTCCTATCTAAACAGGAAGGAGCTCTCCTGAGATACACAGACACAAAGGTTCACGGTGAGCCTTCCGGCCCCAGTGAGGATGTGAGTGGTGAGGAGATGCCTGATCTTCCAGTTACTCAGAGTGCAGGTGACCTGGCAGCTACTGCAGCATCCATATCTCCATCTCAAATGGATGTAACCATGCACATTCCTGAAGAAAAGTGTAGATCAGAGAAGAATGTGGTGGAGGCGCAAGAAACAGCAGCTGCTGAGTTTAGTTCCTTAAGTCGAGATGATCAAGGACTGTGGACCCATTTGACCAGTAGCCTGAGGGACTTCC